TCTCTCTCTCTCTCTCTCTCTCTCTCTCTCTCTCTCTCTCTCTTTCTCTCTGCAATCTTCGAAAATTACGACAAACGACTCCACGTCTCTAAATTATAACAGACTTCCACAAAGCCGTAGTCATTAAGGCGTCGTTGCTCGCGCGTCGTTTGGTTGTCTCGCGTCGTCCTCGAGGAACAAATTTACGATACGACGTCTTACATAAGGAGATCTTATATCATCATCTATCACACTTGAGGGACCTTTGGTGATGTCATTTTATTAAGATGACGTATTAATATTTGATATATCGGCGAACATATCCTCCTCTTTCTTTTTTTCACGAAACATCCCCCAACTACTCGAGAATCAAAAGACCGCGATGATGAGTTATGTGTCCTCTCGAGGTAGCTTTAATAGCTAACGTGTCAAACAGTTATTTGACTCTCGTGGCCAGCTTGACCAGCCCTCGAGCTACTCTCGGTGGCCTATTTCTGCTTATAAAGAGACTTTTGTTATACTTGCAACGTTTCGACCCGTCCTCCAGGCAAACATATCGCGTTAGTACGCGCACACACGCATGCATCTTGATTTGAATCTTGTGATATTATATACATAGAGAGAATGATTTATTGAATCAAATAAATATTTCTTTGGAATAGTCCAAACAAATTATTTGATTGGACACAATAAAAATATTTCTTTGGAACTAAGCCGCAAATAAATATTTTTGTTGCGTCAAACTAAATTTTGTTCGATCAATCAAAAAATTCGTTTGGACTATTCCAAAGAAGTGTTTATTTGATTCAACCAAATCGTTCTCTCTGTGTGTACGACATTAGATTTGCAATCACGATTTAGCTGAAAAATTCACATCTAAACACACAAATCTGAATATCTCATCTAATGCAAGTTTTAAGTAAAGACTATTCATACGAGTCTATAACGTGCTTGACACGCTGCTTATCGCTGTTATCACTATTACGGTGCTCCAACGTATGTTTGTCGAATATGATTCAACTTGAACGTTTCGCGCGATCGATTCGTGGAATATCTCATCAATGCTCGCGAATTTCTATTTTCATCGGAAACTTTCCGACTGAAGAATCCTTGGCTGAGAACGGAAGAAGGAATGAAGGCGAGATAGTCTCTGCGCGGTAAATAGGATAAGTATATGGAGAGGCGTATTTGGTATTAAATATATGATGTCGGTACTCACATCTGAGTCGGCTCCTTTGTCGGCCCCCGGACACGTGAAGGTCACGTATTCGTGACATCGCTTGTGAACGACGAAACTACAGACTGAAACACAAGTAAAACGTGCTCCAAGTTCCTCCGCGAGGTCACACCTGGCCAAGTAGTAGCTGACGAGATCGGTCTGACCATCTTACCTTGGCACTGATATCCCTGTTTCCCGAAGCCCCTGCAACAGCAAATGGGATCAATTTGTCAGCGATATCTTTCAAAGCGGTAACGAGATAACTGGTCGCGAGTCATGAAATTATCTTGCAATAACAATCTAACGAGAAAGATTTACGAATTGAAAAGACGACTGGAAAGATAAACGTTCGAATGTGCGCAAAATTGTCCGATTTGCACTAATAAAAATGCAAAACGCTGCTGGGATCACATACATTCAGGATCACAAAACGCGATGTGGCGTAATCGCAGACAGCACAATGTAATTTCTGTTTCCTGAATCTTCGAGGAGACGATTTATAAGTCGGCGAGGAGTTCGCGTGATTCGTCGGCTGCCAAAGTAATTTCAGCATCGTCCAAGTGTCTCGAATTAAGTGCAGTTAATACGTAACGCGGTACTTATAGTGTTGCGTGCGTTAACAGGATTACACTCGCGATGCGGGTGCTAGCGAGTGTTTTCGTATAGTCCGTGACAGAAATCTGCGACAAACTTCTTAACTACCAAAACGCAAAAGCAATCGTTCTTCCAGTGAGATCGAAGAAAAGAAAAAATGCAACTTCGAAATTAATACGCGTCCCGCCATCATCCACACGTCCCTTCGTGTATGAATCTTCTCCGATCTTTTGCTCGCACATTGTGCGAGCCAATTCTCAGTATATTAATAGTGCACACACAGCGCGTATAAATAATCCACTTCTGTTTCTACCACAGCGCGCTCGTTAATTAGCGCAAGCACCCCTTCGCGCAAATACGGTTATTAAGAGTTAAACTTCGCTGAAATGTAATAACGCATCTACCGCACCGAAGAAACTGCTTGGAACGGACAATAAAAGGGGAGATAAGTGGCAGGGAAAGGTGCGCGACAGTCTACGAAGGAGAATCCTCTTGGTCCCGCGAAAAGGATTCCCTAATCTACGCCGGTGCAGCTCCTATAGACGACAGTCACCGATTAACTCTCACGGCGAAACTTCGCCGAAAGGATTCCCGAAATAGCGATTTTATCGTTCTAAAGTTTGGCTCTCTCTCTCTCTCTCTCTCTCTCTCTCTCTCTCTCTCTCTCTCTCTCTCTCTCT